ATTCAAGAGCTTCATAGTTATTTTGGGGTGGGTGCTTTTTAAAAAGTCTACCGTATAGAACCTTTGGAGAAGATTTTTCTTATATCACTGTTGCTCAGGTTTTTCCACAAAACACATTGAAAGGTAACTTTTGCTAATTAATGTCTGTGATGAATGTCACCTATAATTGAGATGATGCTGGCCTCCAGATACCCATATAATAATGAATATAATTAAATTATGATTTCCTCACCTGCTGTTAGAAACATAAGGTATGTTTCAAGACCCTGTGTCTAATGCATTAATATTTGGTTCCCATTAACAACGACAGAAAAATCAGTCAAAAGAGTAATTGTTGGCTTTGAATTTGGTGGCCAGTAGATTCACTGACCTGTGTGTCTCAGGGATGAGAAACTGAATTATGCTGTACTGGGCAATAGCTCCTAGCCATAAGAAGAAGGGCAGAGTCTCGAGAAGATGCCAAGATGCAGAGCAAACAGCATAGGCATTACAAAGTAAAGGCAACCAAGCCATGTAAAAGAATGTAGATTTTTAAAATATGGGTTAATTTAAGTTATAATAGCTAATTAGGAACAAACCTAAGCTATTGGCTGAGCGTTCATAGTTTTAAAAAGAAAGAATATGGGGGGAAAAAAGACTTAGTTTGATTAATCTGCTTCACCTGCAGAAACAATGTAACTATGTATAGCAAACAACCTACCCTACTCCCAGTCAAACCAAAACACACAGCTGCAACTTCCTGGCAGCTAGCTATATATAAATAGATGTCCCCCAGTCCCTTGAAATGTGTTCAACCTTCAACCCTTCAGAAAGATTCAGGCCTTGCACGGTTCCAACAAAGCAGTCTCAGCCCATTAAACAGAGTCTATATCTGCATCTTTGTCTCTGTTTCCTTACAAGAGAAAGTAAACTTTTATTAAAAATTACATTACTAAACATATTAACTATTCTTACAAATTGTTCATTTTGGAAATAATGAATTACTCGCTGTAGATGGAAGTTTCTGTTCCACAAAGTCCCACAGCCATTTAGTCCCAAATAAACACACAGAGGCTTATATTAATTATAAACCATTTGGCCAATAGCTCAGGCTTCTTATTGGTTAGTTCTCTCTTAATTATGAAATCATTTCTATTAATCTAAGTACCTACATGTGGCCTTTGGCTTACCGAGCTTCTTGTTTCCTAAGCAGCTACATGACATCTTCTTCCTCTTTCCAGAATTCTCCTAGTCTTGTAACCCACTTATGCTGCCCGCCTGGCTACACCCTGCCTGTCCATTGGCTGAAACAGCTGTATTCATCAACCAATAAGAGAAACATATTCACACCATCCCCTATCAAGTCACATAATTAGCACAATGACATAAGTTCCTTTCCATAGATCATTTAGCATATACTCTGTTTTAACACACTCACATCTTGAGTATTTTTTCTTATAGAATATTATTTGGGACTACAAATACCATATCACATCATCCACATGTAATGTATACTGTATCTCCAAATAATAATAGCTTAAATTCAGAGCCCAGACGTGGTCATCTCATTTGATACAAAAAGGCATTTCCCTAGGTTCATCCAATAGCTAGAGTTTTTCAAATAGCCAATCATTCTATCAGAAAGATTTTTTAAGTATGACTGATTCAAAGTCCAATAATGGCACAATAGTGATAGATTGTTCCTTGCTTTAATGTATTCCTTGCCTTAATATCTCTTTCTATTTGTTTGTACTATAGTGGTTCATATTAGCCTCAATTATGAATCTTCTTCTATTTATCCTATACTTAAAGCTATTTTAGTATTTTTTTTCTTTTTTTCTCTTTCTTCCTGTCCTTTTTCTTTCTTCTTTTCTCTTTTTAAAAATCCTTCTCTCTAAGACTCAATTCCAGCTGTCATTTTTCAGTCAACTGATTAGGTTTTGTCAACCCTCTGCCTTTTTGTGTCTTTTGGGCATTTATTATTCTGTCCTTCTGTTGCCATTACTACAATATAAGTGGGGATCTAATTTCTAATTGTACAACTTGAGCAGAAATCTTTAAGTTTGCCACTGTCTCTCTGAAAACACCAGATTTTCAGGGACCATTTTAAAATGTAGTTGAAAATGTGCGTGAACCACACAATGGAATAGCTAACTTTGGAACTTGCCTTGGAATCTTTGGGTTTTTGCAAGTTGAGGAAATTCTTATTGGCAGTCTCTAGCTTGAACACTGGTTGATTCTGCTCCATTCTGGATCTAATCTCACATACTGAGGGAGAGCATGTATCTAATGGAGGCACCCAATGACCACCCAATATCAAACTACCCCTGAGTCTGACACAATGAGAGGACAGATTCAACTTTGCTGTCTTAAGAACTTAATCCAAGGTAGAAACTGTTCAATCAGAGTACATGTCTTAACCCCTAAACCTTAGCTTATTACTTTATAAGTAGCCATAAAAACCATGCTTCTTTTGGATGATGGGAGGGTTAAATTGAGCATTTGACAAATCTGATATCTTATCTTCAGACCATATTGAACAATGTTGATAATAATGTCATCATTACTATTGTGACTATTTTTTTTTGGTAGCTAAAATAAAGGGTGTTGTTTCCATGAAATCCACTGGGGTTCAAATTTTGAGTTCTTTTTCATCTAGTGCTCTGTACCTGAGAAGTTATTCTATACCATTCATCAGATGAAGTTATCCAACTTGTAACATGCACAGGAAAAACACAAGTGAAAGGTTTGGTAAGTGTGGTAAACAAGGCATGCACTAGAGGTGGATAAGCCACAGTACCAACCTGTAAAATTCCTGAACTAGCAATATCCAAGAAAGAGACTTAGAGTTAATGTGGCACTAGGCTTCCAAGTATTCACAGTAGGTCTTATTTGGTGTAGACCTACAAAATGCTTGCTTTTCATATCCAATTAGTAGAAAAAAAGGATGGATAAATGGTGTGGGGCTATTAAGGCAGTGCTTATACATCAGTAATTTGCCTAAAAGTAGTTGTAAAGAAAATAGAGTAGATGAAGGAAAAGACAAATCAAGGCTAAGAGAACAACCAGAAGCAAGACCTTTACAAAATAAATTATTAATAAAAGATAAATAAATAAAATGTTGCTGAAACTAAGAAACAAAGAGAGGGAAGCACAATTATAAGGTAAAATGAAAAGTATAAAATCTCTTGGAAAACCAAGGGAAATGACTTTGATATGAATTGAACATCAAGAGGTATAAATCCATTGAGTTAGCAAACTTAAGTTTCTTCTGAGAAATAAACATCATTGCAAAAAAGGAATAATTGTATCACTGATGATCAAATGATACAGACCCTATCATCTGTGAAAACCAGACCATGGGAAATGATCACTATCTAGAAATTAATTACATGCCATGCTCACTGATTTGCATGGGTCCCACCACAGGGGTTTAATGGTGTCTTTAAACTCCCTATAGGTACAAATGATAATTCTATTTCAAAACAACTATCCTCTCATGAAAAGTGCTTTGGATCTAAAGCAAATGTATATACAGCATGCTCTATGATCAAGGAACATGATTGGCCAGCTGATGTCTGTAATCAGGGACAGAGCAGGCCAGTCAATGAGCAGAAGCTGACCGGAATGCTCAGAGCTTTCTTAATAACTTGAGCAGGAATAAGCAAGACATTTTTATAGACAAATCTCTTCAAGACCAACCCAAGGGCCATAGGGAATAGTATAGCCAAGGAATAAAAAAAAAATACTATTTATATTCAGCTAGCATATTCTAAACTAAAATTGGCAAATAGTAAATCTGATACCATCTACCAGAACACACATGCACACATCAAGGGGCTGACACTAAATCTTGGCTCCAATGTGGTGATGAGCAAGTCATGGAATATCTGAGGAACGGGCTCCTTTTTGTGAGACAGAGATTGAAATGGTATCTAGTTAAACTGCGTGAGCTCTCAAAAAGGAAATATGCGTATAATTCTAAACAAACAAATAAACACAAAACAAAACAACAAAAAGCCTGTAAGTAGACACCTCTCAGTAATGGTTGTTATGAGCTCAGGGTACCAGACAATCTACAGAGGACATTACTTTCAATACATAGATTTCTACCCACTCAAAAGACAAAATTCACAGATTTCTATTTTACAGTATGGTTAAAAGCAAAATGGTATTTAACTTGGTAATTGTCAAAAGTATCACCTTGTCTTCTTACAGAGAAAATTGTAGGCCTACCTTCCAAAGTTTTACCTCAACCAGACTAGATTGAATTACTTTTAAAGGATTCTTTTGTTAGCAAGGTGTGTGTGTGTGTGTTGTCTAAATTATATTTTTTACTTGTGATTTTTTTTCTAGCTTTATTATTATTCTATATTATAAATATAGAATTCATGATTTGTAGAGGAAAAAAAGAAATGAGTTAGTGAGAATTCTAAGAAATAAATGCTTTATTTTTAAAGTTGGGTTAAACTGACTTACGAAGTTTTTAACTTTGTCTTTGAGCATCTATCAAAAGGGACTGGAAAGGAATATACAGGACACACTAAGAGCCACACGAGCAATCTGTATACTCTCGCTAGAAAGGGAAAACATTTAGGAATTCAAGTTTTAAATACTATATAGAAAAAGTGCTCTGGATCATATTTCTCAATTGAAACCCACGCATAATATTTTGGTTTTAGTTGTCTCCATCCTCACATGCCTTGTAATTTTTGCTTGATAAGAAATCAGCCAGTATGTTCACGACCAGAGCTATTTATAGAGGTGTGAGTGATCACTCAGAAGCAGCAGGGCCTCTAGCACAGCAGAGAATAGTTTCCACATGCAAAATTCCAGAGAAACAAACCTCTTCTTATTCTCCCAACATACAGAGCTGGCAACCTCTCAGGTAGCAATTTCATTTCCCAGATCGGGCATAGACTCACAGAACAGGATGACTACCTAAAAACAACATTTTAAACAGAAGCACAGAGAGATCCCCAGTGATTGTCAATTTACATAATGTCCCCATGCAACAGTACCTTCAGCAGTGATCTCAGTCATGGTGGATGGAGAAGGCAATCAGGTGAAAAGTAAGTCCCAGTCAAGTGGCACTTGGCGAAGTATGGTAGGATCAGAGAACTCTGGTAGAGGGCTCCGTGAGGGCTCTTGCTTTTCCTGGCTGTTTTCAGATGCTTTTTGTGGCTCTGTTGAACTTTGCCTCTTCTCTGCAGAGTTCTCCCCCTGGAAACAACCTAAGCCCTTTCCAAGCAGTACTTGTGGCTCAGCTAGATGTATCAGCTTCATACAAAAATAGCCTCATCTCCCTAGGACTCCTCAGCACTTTTTTTTTTTTTTTTTTTTTTTTTTTTTTTTGGCACACTGGAGGAACACAGAGAGAGAGAGAAAGAGAGAGAGAGGTGTTCCCCAGCCCTAAAAAGACAGGCAAAATAAATAAATAAACAAGCAAACAAATAAAAGAAGATACCAAAGTATCTAGAAAATACTGCCTAAGCCCCCGCACTGTCTGAGATAATTACAGGGATGTGAATCAGAAAACATGAAATAAAGGAGTTGAAAGTAATCTTATCCGAGATAGCTCAGATTTATTCTTAGTGTCCCTAATCCCCAGAACATTCCCCTATCCCTTATTTGGTTAGGGGAGGGTCATGTAATGTCTACCACTGGCAGAGGGGAGGGCAGACTTAAGTAATTTTTTCTGAGCTGGTTTCTGGTTGCTCCAAATCCTCTTAGTAGGTGTGCTTATATATGGCTGCCCTTAAAACTGAAATTATTAAATCCTGGCCACTCTTCTAAGCTAAGTCATGTTGAAGGAAATCAATATTTTATAAATATTAGTCAGTAAGAAGTAATGTGACATTAAAACAGAACACTGAAAAGCATGATGCTTCTGGGTTTTATTCTCACACTTTGCTAAAAACAAAATATTTCAATTTATCTCATCAGTGAAAGAATGAGAAGGTAACATAAAGTTTAGAAATTCACTGCTAATGTCTTAGAAGATTTCAGCATTTCCATAGCTGAACTGAGGGGGGGGGGGAAGGCATCCTAGCAGCAGCTAACAATTAGCTAAATTGCCTGATTAGCATTTCACCTTCCCACTCCCAGACAGGTGTTAATGAGAAGAGAAATATTCAATAGTCTTGGTTGGAAGGGGAAGGAGAATCAAAGGGCATTGATAATCATAAACTTCAGCCAATCTGAGACTAATCAAGGGCCAACTTCCCTTATCTTTTATTTTTTTCTTATATTCAACCTAATAAATGCTTGCAGTTTCATCGATTAGCCTTAACTCCCTACCTTTGGCTGTCAGAACCTCTGGAACTTGTATAGTACTCCATAGTTCAAATGGCAAAGCTCTATCTGATGTTTTAAAGTGTGGAACTCAGAAGAATGCTGTGACAGCTATTTGCATAAACAATGACATCCTACATGTCACCAGCTGTCTTTATTGGCTGCCTCAATGGCTGGCACAACAGAAATTGCACAGACATCAGCTGAATAAACAAATAGGGAAGCCTCTTCTTTCACTGAGGAGGAACTGATTCCAGATAGACTACCCAGGCCTAGCAAGCTGCTAGGATGGCTCCTAGATGATTGACACTAATTAAAGTCCCTATACCTTGCCTGAGAGCTAAGATCTTGTTGCAGACAGTACTGTTTCCCGGATGAAGGGATCATTGCAAATAAAGCCAATATGCAGGACAGAACGATGCTGCAGCCTCTGGAGTAGTGGGCTACCTAAAGGAGCACCCTGAGATCAGAGCTGCTCTGGCTGTGGCTGTTTCCCTGTGCTGATTCGATGAGAACAGCTCCCATAGGCTCACATATTTGAATGCTTCTTTCCTAATTGGGAAGGATTAGAGGATGCAGTCTTGTTGGAGGAGGTGTGGGGGGGGGGGAGGTCTCAAAAACACATTTCTAGCCAGCACTCTCTCTCTCTCTGGCTTCCTCAATAAGTAAGTTTCAGCTACTGCTCCCTTTGTGATGGTCATGAACTTTATTTGTTCTCTGGAACTATAAGCAAGACCCCAATTAAATACTTTCTTTTATAGGTTGTCATAGTCATGTTGTCTCTTCATAGCAGTAGAAAATTAACTAAGACAGACCCCAAATATATCCATTTGATACCAACACAATGCTATCTCTTTTAAGAAAGCATAATGCTTCATCCCTGTTGGTCAGTACTTTTATGGTCCTTCCCTATAGCTAACTGAAGAAATAAGCACGTTGTGCAACCTACAAACTCTTTCAAGGACCAACCAAGACCTAAATACAATTTGAAAGGGAATAAAAACTTCAGTTTCTAGCTATTGCTCCATTAAAGATTGGAAGAAGATGAGGGGGCTAAATTTCAAGAGATTGATGCTACACTCAAGCTCTCCCTTTTAATTTCATGTTGTACATGCTAGAAAGAAAAGATAAAATAAATAAATAAATAAATAAAAACCCTCAAAGCTATTCTAGCCAATCAGTGCCCTTGCAGAATAATAGACTCTTACTTCCATATGTCAGGTGAAATGATGACTCAATCGGCATATAAAAATTAAATATTTCTCACTTTGAAAGTAACCAGAATTCTTTCCATGATGAAAGCTGATTCATAATGGATGACTTTGAATTACACATGGACTCTGAAGATTTCTCTGAAACTAATCTCCTAAAACTTTCAAATGTGTAGGGCCCAGTTTTCAGGACATTTGATGAACAGGGCATTGGAATTGGTTTCCCTCATTTTTAAAAGCACGGTTTTAATCAGATGTTACCAGTCTGTTGGGCTCTCCCAGGATGACCCACTTGGTATAGTTTCTTACTCTCTGTGGCTTCAGGCACATTCTCACAATGGCCATGCCCCTCTACCAGCTAGTGCATAGAGAAATATTTATTAAACCAGGGCATTAATAACTGACCTTGTCTACACAGTCAATTAATAACTAAAAACAATGGTGTTTTCCTGTTAAGTGCTACATTTAGGCCAACATGCTTATCCATTGATGATACAAATCATTAGTCCTTGTGATTTTTGTTTGGTGTTCCACATATGCAAGATGGTAGATAATAATATTCTGCCTTAGAGCAATCTTTATAAACTGGCTGCTTGGTCTCTTATTATCATAAGCTAACAATCCATAAGGCATATACTGCATTAGGCTGTGAATAAGATTTCTCATCTATCCTGAATTTCAAAATGTAAAAGGAAACAGTAAGCAATGTCAGAAGGTTTTTGGACTTCTGGTTTCCAAAACTAAACTAAGCTAACATTTTAAGAACTTATGTTATTATCTTAGTAACTGTCAACTTCTTGCTACAGAATGATGAGAAGAAATAATTGAAAACAACTGCAATTGACAACCATTCACACATTTTCTCAATGGATATTTAAAAGTAAAATGAAAGGGTTAAGGTTAAGTTTATTCTCAAGTCCCTTTGTTTCTTATTGTACACACAGTTAATGTGTGCATCTATGTCATTGTGTCTGTGACTATATACACATGTCATTGTGTCTGTGACTATATACACATATATGTATGATGAATGAAAGTAATATAATTTAACAAAACATTGTACAATAAAGTGCATCTAGACACTTCAAAATAAATCCTATTGATTAGGGAAAAGCACTAAGTATGTTCCCTTGTATCTTTAAGAATAACTGACATATGAGTATTTTCTCTGTTAACCTAAGTTTTCAGATTTATTTTAACAAGAGCCAATATAAACAACTAAAACAAAATATTTTTATTGAAAACTATGTTCTTCTCTCATCCAATATATTTGAACACATTTTCCCCTCTCTCCTCTCCTTCAGCTTCTGACCAACTCCTCTCTCCCCCAGATCCACTCTGCCTCCATTTCCCTTCAGAAAAGAGCCAACCTCCAAGAGACAGTAACCAAACACAATGAAACAAAATAGAATATGACAGCAAAAGGCTGAACCTCTGTTGGATATGAAGTTGGTGAAAATCTTTTCCCATTCTGTAGGCTGCTGTTTTGTCCTCTCCATGGTATTCTTTCCCTTATAGAAGCTTTATAGTTTCATGAGGTCCTATTTATTAATTGTTGGTCTTAGTGTCTGCACTACTATGTTCTGTTTAGGAAGTTGTCTCTGAAGCCAAAGTTTTCAAGGCATTCCCCATTTTCTCCTCTATCAGGTTCAGTGAGTGTATCTGGATTTATTTTGAGGTCTTGATCCACTTGGACTTGAGTTTTGTACAGTGATATATATGGATTTAGTTGAATTCTTCCACATGTAGACATCCAATTAATCTCACTAATGATGACTGTGTTTTGGGCTTCTTTATCAAAAATTTCGTGTCCATAAGTGTGTGGATTTATATATGGCTCTTCAATTCAATTCCATTAATCAATGTGTCTGTTATTATGCCAATACCATGCAGTTTTTATTAGTAATAGCTCTGTAGTACAGAGGGATGGTGATACTTCCAGCAGTTCCTTGATTGTGCAGGATGGTTTCGGTTATTCTGGTTTGTATTTGTATTTGTTTTTCATATGAAGTTGACAATTCTCCTGTCAAGGTCTATAAAGAATTGTGTTGGAATTCTAACGGGATTGCCTTGAATCTGTAGATTGCTTTTGGTAGAATGGACATTTTTACTGTAATTATTACTGATTCATGAATATGGGAGATCTCCCCATCTTCTGATATCTTCCTCAATTTCTTTCTTCAACATGAAGTTTTTAACATACAAGTCTTTTGCTTGCTTGGTTAGAATTACCCCCAAGATATATTATTTGAGATATTGTGAGATGTGTCATTTCCTTGACTTGTTTTCTTAATCCATTTGTCACTTGTATACAAGAGGGCTACTGATTTTATATAGATAGATAGATAGATAGATATAGATATAGATATATATAGTTTATTTTGTATCCAGCCACTTCTCTGAAAGTGTCAGCTATAGGAATGGCATGGTAGTATCTTTTAGGCAACTTATGTATCCTATCATATAATCTTGAAATAAAAATACTCTGATTTCTTCCTTTTCATTTTGTATCCCCTTGATCTCCTTCAATTGCCTTATTGCTCTAGCTAGAATCTCAAGTGCTATATTGAGTAGATTCGGAGAGTAAACATCCTTGTCTTATTCCTGATTTTAGTGGAATTTCTTTGAGTTTTCTCTCCATTTAATTTGATGTTGAGTATAGCTTGCTGTAAATTTTGTTAACTATGTTTAGTTATGTCTGCTTGTATCCCTAATCTTGCCAGGACTTTTATCATGAAGGGGATTTGGATTTTGTCAAAGTCTTTATTGAATCTAACAAGATGACCATACAATTTTTCTTTCAGTTTTTTTTTTTTTAATGGTGGGTAACATTTAC